TATATATAATAAATACATACATCATTTTTCTTTCAGATATAGGCCATATTAAATCCTTTCTCGGTCAAGGTAGGGTATACACAAAACAAAAGATGGAGAAAAAAACCCAAACCGACGCGACATATGCTTTGAGAGATGAGAAACTGTTTTCATGATCAGCATCTAATATAACACCTTACTTTACCAGCTCTGAGCCTCACAAGGCCAGCCCAGGTTGTAACACCCTGTAAATATCCTCTTTTGATTTCCCCATTCTGTGACACTATTAAACTTTTGTCATGGTGATATTCTACCTAACTACAATGGATCTAATGACCTTGCTTTTCTTGGTGAAAAGTATTTCTGGGATCTTTTGCGGCAGTAACAGTTTGCATTAACAACAGATTTGTGGGAGAAGCACAGTGTTAACCCTCTGTTGAGGGATGGACTTCCAAACTACTTCAGGTTTCTAACTCTGAATGACTGACGATACCTAAGATTGGCTCCAAAGCCCTGCAACTACGGAATCTTGCACAGGCTGAGTAAATACTCCCTCAAACATGTTCACTGGATTCTTTTCAAAATGATTACGCAGAGAAATAAAGGAATTACCACACCTGTGGGAGTTATAAATACAATAGACAAAAAGGTTGATAGAAGAGTATCTTGAAACATTCTTTTAAAGAGTTTTCTATTATACTAATAATATTTGAGACCATGAAGGTAATTTATACAGTTGAATTAAAGTTAATGAACAAAGTCTAACAATATTAAGACCAAGAAAGTAAAAATTTTTTGAGAGACATATATTCAGCTTAAAACCAAAGTGTTGTGCATTGAGTTGAGTTTGTTTGCAATTTTAATTTGAACCTGAAAATTCTCCCAAGTTCTCCTTTCAGAAAATTTGCTTAGATAGAGTTTGCCTTATTGTTTTATTTAACATACACTGGTGAGAACCTAGTAAAAGAAAATATAATAAACATATATTGATTTGTTTAAACAATTTAACATCTGGTAACCAATTACTAAATCTGTTCTTTTTATGTGTATTAATGGTTCTAAATACACTTCTCCAAATTATACGACCCGAATGAGTAAGTTTTATCTGATGTACAAATTATCTGACTCAGCCCTTCATTGAGTCCTGCCAAAACAGATACAAGTCTCCCATGTATTAACAAGAAATGTATATTTCATAGATCATTTTATGGAAAAGGAAAATGAAGAAGAATGTCTGCTCTTTGGACTCTCTTTTGAGCCAATTTAACATTTTATCATTTTCTAATGAATTCTTTGCCATGTATTTATTTTATATTTGTACATGAGAGGAATGATTTTGCCTTTTATTGAAAATCCTGTAACTATTTTTTTTTTGCATTTAAAGAGATTGAAATAAAGAAGTACAGTGATTATGAAGATGAAGAACTAGTATTCAAATTACTTGTTTTAAAACAATGGATCACTAGCATCAGTAATCCCTGCATCTAATCATTATCTCTGATTTTAATAGAAGAAAACAAAGTCCAGAAGTTTTTACCAAATATAATGGAATTTTATGATGGATCTCATGATGAAGATACTTTAGTGGAAATTTTTGACACAGAGACATTTAGAAACAATTAGAATTGATATCAAGTACCAGATCATGAACAATATTATACTTTCTGGAATTTTTTGTGAAATGCAATTTTTATGAATCTCTGCCAAATATATCCTTAGGAGTGAGTTTGTCTT